CCCATAGCACTCAGTAGTAATGATTGTATGTGCTTTTTTAACGATAACATTGTTACTCTTAGAAACAAAATTAATGACCTCTTGCCTTTGACCAGTATAGTGTTATCAACAGCTCCCGGAAACGTAAGTTCTAATATTACACTAGATAGTAAACTAGAATGCTTTTCAGCCATAAACCTTGAACAATTAAATTCAATGATTCTCTCTTCTAAACCATCAACGTGCATGTTAGACCCAATTCCAACTAAGCTGTTGAAGGAAGTTTTTCCATTAATTAGCACTTCTTTATTAAATATTATGAATATGTCTTTATTATCAGGCTATGTTCCACAATCATTCAAAGTAGCAGTGATAAAACCGCTTCTTAAAAAGCACAACCTCGATCCAGAGGTTTTAGCCAACTATAGACCTATTTATAATCTTCTGTTCCTCTCAAAGATTCTTGAGAAAGCGGTCGCAAAACAGTTGTGTGATTACTTAAAAAACAATGATTTATTTGAAGATTTTCAGTCTGGCTTTATAACACATCATAGCACAGAGACAGCTCTGGTTAAAGTCACAAATTACATTCTAATAGCCTCTGACAAGGGACTTGTCTCTATTCTTGTTTTGCTCGATCTCAGTGCTGCATTTGATACTATCGACCATGATATCCTATTGCAAAGACTAGAGCACTTAGTTGGCATACAGGGAACTGCTTTAGGCTGGTTTAGGTCCTATCTATCTGAACGCTCTCAGTTTGTACGTGTTAACGATGAATCTTCCACGAAAACCAAAGTTAGCCATGGAGTGCCACAGGGTTCAGTGCTCGGACCTATTTTGTTCACATTATATATGCTTCCGTTAGGCAATATTATAAGGAATCATTCTGTAAACTTTCATTGTTATGCGGATGATACTCAACTATATTTATCAATCAAGCCTGATGAAATTAATCATCTAAATAAAATTCAAGACTGCCTTAAGGACTTAAAAACGTGGATGACCTTAAACTTTTTGATGTTAAACACGACCAAAACTGAAGTTATTGTACTTGGCCCGAAGAATCTATGAAACAAATTATCTAAAGATATACTAACTATGGATGGCATTAATTTGGCCTCCAGTGAGACTGTAAGGAATCTTGGTGTTATATTTGATCAGGATTTATCCTTTAACGCCCACATAAAATCAATTTCAAGGACCGCCTACTTCCATCTACGTAACATTGCAAAAATCAGGCATATCTTGCCTCAAAACGATGCAGAGAAACTAGTCCATGCATTTCTTACTTCAAGGCTGGATTATTGTAACTCTTTATTATCAGGGTGTACCAAGAAGTCAGTCAAGTCGCTTCAGCTGATTCAAAATGCTGCAGCTCGTGTACTAACCAGAGTTAGGAAAAGGGACCACATTACTCCTGTTCTGGCTGCCTTACACTGGCTCCCTATAGAACACAGAATAGAATTTAAAATTCTTCTTCTCGCCTACAAAGCCCTTAATGGGCAGGCGCCATCTTACCTTAAAGAACTCATTATACCCTACTGTCCTATTAGGGCATTGCGTTCCAAGAATGCAGGGTTGTTGGTTGTTCCTAGAGTCTCTAAAAGTACAATGGGAGCCAGAGCCTTTTCTTATCAAGCTCCACATTTGTGGAATCAGCTTCCAGTTTTTGTTCGGGCGGCAGACACCCTATCCGTTTTTTAGGGGTGCGCTTAAGACCTTCCTTTTTGATAAAGCTTATAGTTAGGGCTGATTAGATTCAGCCCCTAGTTTTGCTGATATAGGCTTAGTTTGTCGGGGGACATCTTACTTCTTCCTTCTCTCTGTCTATACCTGTGTACTCTCATGGATGATCCTGCGGTCCTGTGTCCTGGATCGCGAGCCCTGGATCTTGAGTCGTGGCTGTGGTCCTGGATCATAGGTTCTGGATGGATATCCTCGTGGATTCATCTTCCTATTATACACACATGCATTTCCAAACATTTGGACTACCTATGTTGCAAATGTATTATCTTTTCAATTTACACACGGCATCTATTGCACGTCTGTCCGTCCTGGGAGAGGGATCCCTCCTCTGTTGCTCTCCCTGAGGTTTCTCCCATTTTTCCCTTTAAACTGTGTGTTTTCTCCGGAAGTTTTTCCTTGTACGATGTGAGGGTCTAAGGACAGAGGGTGTCGTATTGTCATACTGATATTCTGTACACACTGTGAAGACCACTGAGACAAATGTAACATTTGTGATATTGGGCTATATAAATAAACAGTGATTGATTGATTGAGAACAATGCTTTTATTTTGGCCTATCGACTGTGTTTTATGTCGAAAATACCTTACATTTTGGGTAAAGGCATCAATCAGACAATAATCTTTTCCCTGAGCAAAGGTGATCAACTGTTCTCCTGTGTGGACCTCATGATTTATGATTCATTTATGTCCGAAACCCTCTTGAAAACTAATCCATCAATCCGTTTTACCTTCCTGGTTAGATAAAGGTCAGATAATTGAAAGAAATAAAATGTGTGATTAATTGCGATGAGGTATTGTATTTCGACTCAAAACAGGTGTAGTTTGGTCTAAATATTTTCTTTAGGGCTTGTATTTTAATGTGAATTTGCTCCTAGTCTGACCATTTTACCCAATTGTAATTAAGCCTTTCACAGGTGTCTGTAATGGTTTTATTCCACTGTCAAACCCATTATAATTTTATAAATAAATAAAATAAAGCGCATTGTGTGTGTCCGGTACATAGAAAACAGGTGTTTAGTAGGAGGAGTTTTCCTCTAATGCAACAATGGCTGTACTCCCTTTTAATTTTCATCTAGATTCAATAGAAGCGGCTTCAAAATAGTTACTATTACAATGTTTGTGCCTCTAAAAACACCAAACCACTATTTATGCTCTGTATAATGAGCAGGTCTGTTGTTTTTCTCCCCACATGCTGAATATAAAACCATATAATAGATTGCAGTGCACAGAGAACCTGTGATAGCATTAGCTTTATTGACAGTGGGCCGAGGCTTTCAAGCACCGGCTGTCTGTGTGATTCATTGTGAAGCAGAGAGACGAGCAGCGTCCAGTCCTGCTTACATGAAACCCCTGGAGGTGAATTTCCTGATTAAAGCCCCTATACCCCCCCCCCACACACACACACATACACAAACACACACACACACACTACTGCCTGCCTGAAGCCCCGGCAGTTGTGTGAACATATGTGCGGTGCACAAAGCAGCATGCATGTGTCTTTGTGTGTCTGCATGCCGCTTTTATGTGTTTGTGTGCAAATACAGTTTGTTCTTGTACTTGCTTGTGTTTGTTTTTGAAATACAAAACAAATATTTTAAACGTTTTAGGGGGGGATTTGTTCTTGATCCAACAACTCTAGATACTGCCATTTTTACATATTTTCATCAACTGTAAATTCATCCTTTAGCTGATGTTTTATTCATTGTTTTCTCTATATGGTCTTATTTATATATAAATGTAGCACTTTGATCTTGTTTTTTAATGGTTGCTATTGTAAATAAACTTTACTTTCCTAATTGTCATCTATTTTTCTGTAAAGCCAGTTTTAAATCCAGTTTTAGTGCAATTCAAACGCTATTATGAAGGGTGCTTGTGACGAAGGTTACTTCGTCACTGTGGACTGACGGCTTCGGGCCTTGTAATATTGCACATGTGGTTTAGTTTGAAAGTGTTCCCCCTCTCGTTTTGTCTGTGGCTGGTGATTGTGTTCCCCTGGTGCCCTGTGTTGTCTCCCCACCCCCCCCCCCACCTGTGTCTTATTGGCCTGATTAATGTGTGTGTATTTAGGCTCTGTTTTCCCTGTCAGTGGACAGGTAGTGTGTGTGAGAGCCTGGTGGCTGCTGACTGTGTTCAGGTGGACGGCAATTGAGGCTGTGAATCATGTGCCCATGATTTGAATAAATGCCCACACCGGGTTGTATTTGGACGTTCTGCCTCTGCCTCCTTGCTTGGTCGGGCCGCTCAACGGTCAGCTTCACAGTGCTAAATTAAACACATTTAACTTACTTCCTCAGTTTCTCTTGTTGTAACTATCATTTTAAGTGCAATATAAATAAACTACTCTCTTAAAATGTGCAGAAATATGTATGCACGTGTGTGTTAATCATGTGTTGTGTGTGCCTGAGCTTGTGTTGGTCTAACTTACTGCATGTATATGGTGTGTGCATCAGTTTTATGAACGTATGTGTTTCTGTGTGTTGCAGAGTTTATGTCCGACATGGCGGGGTTCCATGTGGAAGCCATTGAAGCTGTAGCTGCAGTGGATGTTGAAGGTAAGGCAGATGGTAGTGGTTAGCCCCTGGCTGCTCCGGGTAACCTGACCTGCAGGGAGGACCCTCTGCCTGCTGAGGACCGGCCGCCACATGTGTTGCGTGAGAGTAAGTCACCCAAAACCCTGGAACCGCCTCTCGGCTTCCTGAATGCCTGTTCTCATAGCCGGGGCTGGTTCTTTTAAGCGAGGATCTAAAACAACAAAGTAAAAAGAGATCAGACGGGAGGAGTTCAGAGACAGGATCATGGAGGATCCTGAGGTCTGATGAAGGTGTTATTCACAGTCTCATTCATGTGTTCATGCTGTTTTAGCACCTTATACAGCTGTCATGATTAAATAATAAAACTCAACATGCAGACAATTCTACCTTAACATAAGAAGTGAATACAGTGTATTAAAGTAACTGAAGTACAGTCACTCAAGTACGGTCCTGAAGTACAAGAGTAATGCCTGTGTACTCTATTTACATTTCACATTGTGCAACAAGTAGCCTACTGGTACTTTTACTATTTGAAGTGTATTTGACAATACTTGTGCACTATGCTGATCCAATTTTACAAACATTTTACGATCCTAGGAATCATGACATGATTCAACAACAACAACAACAATAGTATTAGCTCAAAATGCTACTCAGTAGCAGTAATCCGTAATACAATATCATACTATACTAATAGCATCAGAGTCACGGGGGTATAACATATATATTATATATTAACAAACACATTCACACATTAAGGTAACATGAAGTTAAAAGCATTCATAAAGGCAAGCCCTGCTTTCAAAAGATTTTGAATGCAGGGCTTTTACTTGTCATTGAATAGTTTTACTCTGTTAAATCACCTTCACACATGTTTTAAGAAATAGGAAAAGTACTTGTAAATCATCTGTATCTGATATCAATCTTAAAATGTCATCTACTTAGTTGACCCCAAAATCTGTGAATATGCATATTTTTTTATTTCAACTGTCAGTCTTCAGGCTATGAGTGTAGAATCACATACATTACTCTCCACAGTGAAAATATAAACATATACAGTAGAAAGACAAGCCAAAAAAATTACTTTGAGTGAAGGAAGACATAAAAATACACAATCAATCACTTACTGGTATAAATGTAAGGTCACCCAGGGCCAAACAGTCATAATAAGCTGTTTTGCACATACACATGCATATCATGTTAATAATAATAATAGATTTATTTTGTTAGCGCTTTTACAGGTGCTCAAAGACGCTTTACAGATATAGTGAAAAGAAAAGAAATTGTGAAATGTTACTTTCTTCTTTTAAATCTGTGTGTTCAGCTGTACCCAGCTTGGTCTCTAGATGGCACTAAGTCATAAGTGAACCTGAGGTGGATGGGAGCATAATTAAAAATGGTAGTAATAGGCTTTTGATTGAATTAACTGCCCCACGTGCCAGTAATTCAGAGTGCAGGGTCGACGTGGATAAAGATTTGTTTTTCTTTCTTTCAAATAGACAACACCAGGTCCAGTGTCTCTTCAGATGAACGCTGCTTGAGATGGTGCTCAACATCTGCTCAGCGAGCGAGAGGTGAGCCACTGTTTGAAAATCCATGTCACTGAATAAATGATGGGCTGATGAAGGCCTGCTCCAGATATTCTTTCAATGCACACCATGGTCAAATATCTGAAAATTACTCAACTGAAAGGAAAAAACTGCAATAAAAATAATTGTGAAGAGTTTGTCAGATCCTGTTGCTATAACACAAATTGTAATCTCTCTCACACAGACAGGAACAACAGAGGCTGCGATGCCTCTGCAGTGTTTTGATTTGTGATTACACTGAAGTTATGTGGGAACATGTTTTCCTGTCAGCGTCACTGTGACAGTAAGGACAGGCTGACAGCAACATGCAGCAGCAATGCACGCATCTGTCAAACCTCCACTACATATATTACTGTTTCCTGTCTGAGCGGTACACAGAAAAATCAGCACAGAGTCACATCGGCAGATTTTGACATAATGTGCTGTCCACTCAGAGGGACATGGGGAGGCAGAGACAGTCTCCAAGAGCATGTGAAGCTCACGCAGTGCAGAGTTTTTGCATTTGGGAAAAATTCTATCAACAGATCCAAAAACTGCTGCTGTGCACAGGTTGGAAACTATTTTAAATCTGTGCATGTGGACAGGTTGTGGAAGTTTCACAGTTTGGACATGTTACTGTCATGAAGCGTTCTGAGGCTACTTTTACTCTACTGTAGGCAAAATCTGAATATGTTGTGCATATCTGATGAAAAATCATGTAAATCCTTTGTTTACATCCGCTACATAGTGACATCACTATACAGTTAACCAATCAGAGCAGACTGGCCTCTGGTTTCAGACAGAGGGTGGAAAGAGGTGCTGCAGCACAGGCAGTAGAACAAATAAAGAGCTTTCTGAACATTAAAGCACGTTAACAGTAACGGCACAACATACAAATATGAACATGAAAATGAGCATAATACGCCCCTTAAAAAAACAAAATGTCAGCAGTCAAACACAAATAATTGGATCTGTACGTATTCCAATTTGAGCAAGCTTGCACTTTAAACATATAGCATCCTGACACAATTGTTCCTTTCGTTCAACACATCTCAATGCTTAGCAGTTTTATTTGAAATATGCATATACATCCTAAAAACATTCTTAAAAGCTGTACTTCTAAATCACAAGTAAATGGACAGTATGTATGTATATATATGGTAATTTCTCAGAGCAATTTACAGTTTTCCTTTAATTCGGCCATATACACACACACACACACACACACACACACACACACACATACCATGTATACATCACTTCAGGGGACATTACATTGACTTACATGCATTTCCTGGAGACTTATCCTAACCTTAACCATAACCAACACATGCCTAACCCTAACCCTTACCCTTACCCTTAACCTAACCCTAACCAAGTCTTCACCCTAAAATGAATGATTCCCCTCATGGGGATCTCCAATTTGTCCCCATAAGGGAAGCCAGTCCCCACACGTGACTATGTAAACAGATGTAGGTCCCCACAAGTATAGTAATGCTAGACCACACACACACACACACACATACACACACACACACACACACACCAGCTAGCCCGGTTATCAGGAGTAATTTGGGACTCAGTGTTTTGCTTGAGGACTCTTTGACAGGTGGACAAGAGACACCAGCCATCAAACCATCAACCCGGCAATTAATGAACAACCAGCTCTGCCTCGTGAGCATCAGCCGCCACACAACAGAGACAGTCTCTTCTGAAAGAAACGCGCTAGCCATACCTTAGGCATGTTCAATAGGATGCAAATAGTTTAGTGCTGAAATGCTCTAAGTGATTATTCAATTAAAGTATTGACAGAAAAAAATGAATTGAGGCAACAGATTTAGATGAATCAGGCCAAATTCACCTCCTAAAAGATAGGGATTTGTTGCTTTTCCTTGCTTTATATAATTAAAAACTGAAAATCTTTGGACTTTTTGTGGGTCAAGACAAACTATTCAGTTAAGCCCCAAGCCTGTTTTTCAGGTCTCATGCTCGAAAATGACATTCCCAGAACAAATGACTATATCTTCACTTCTAAAAGGGGTCAATTAATAATCTTTTTTCTCAAAGCAATGATAAACCTGTGAGTTGGATGTAGAAAAGTCAGAATCAATATAGAATTTACTTTAAAGTAAATTCAGATTGAACATAAAAGAATGTAAATGATAGTGTCCGTCCAAAATAAAAACATTACTCATAGTGAAAACCACCCTTAAATGATGGGATAGTAGACTAAAAGCTTTAGGAATCCAAACTATAACATATAATAAGTACCCTGTATCAAGATTGATGCAAAACAAGTGACATTTGACCTTTTTAGAGAGGTTCAGCAAAAAAACAACACTTCTGGGGTCATTTGGGTGCATTTTCCATATCTCTGGCCCCCCTCGGTCGATTTTGATGATTGACACCTCTTTTGAACCGTTAGAGCCAATAGAATCGAGGGGAAGTTCCTAAAATCCATCTAAACATGGCCATTGAGGAGTGAGAGAGATGTGCACGCAGTTTGTGAGCCCATAGGTGTAGTGGCTATCATAGCAGCTAATATGAAATCTCAGTTTTTGACCAAAATGGAATGATGGATTATCAGTAATGATTTCAAAGTGACACAGACACATTGGGTTAACCTTCAGCAGCGTTGTTATCGTTGTAATGCCATTGAACACAACAGGAAAGATAAGACATAATAAGACATAATTGCGTTTTGGCTCCGTAAAGAACTTGTGTTGTCTGGTTTCGCCTTCGCTGCCTGAGTTTTTTAGAATCTGTGGAATCTATGTAAAACCCTTTGAAATCCTGTTCAACTTCCTTAAAGTAAGTTGTAACTGTTTTGTTGTCTAAAAATGTCTTGCTCAGTTATTGCTTGTACTGTCCGACTTATTGTGACAATTATTGATCCACAAACAAAGATAGCAGCCGCACAATTGCCATCCAAAAATCCAAAAATAGATAAATTACTGGTCAGATATTTGGAAAACCATGCATACTTCTCTCTCTTCCAACAGCAGTGGAGGCGGGACAGATCAGAGGCCTCGGGCTATATGAGCCAACACACTGACTCCACTTCTTTCTGTTTCAGCTCTTATTGATCAACAAGCATGTCACAGTTGCTGTGTCACAGCTCTGGTGTATTTGATGCTGCACGTCATGTAGTTTGTTGCTTGTAACTTCGCTTAATTAGAAATATAGTTTGTACTGTTGCTCTTAGTTAAACGCACCAAATGTGAAATTATTTTATATGCCTCGGGCCAAACTGGACTTAGCAATGACAACATCAGAGGGGTTGAAGGCAGGCTGCCATTAAAGCTAATAGCCTCGTTATTAGGCCTGCAGCGGGGGTGGGGGGTGAGGAGGGGCCGGCATCATGTGATCCATCTAAACACATCTGCCACTTCTGGGACCAGGAATATCCAACAGGTCCTGGTTTTTCTTACCTCGTGATAAATCATTTGTTTTCAAATAAGAGATCGACACAGGTCTGTGGTGACGGGAGGAAATCGTTTGAAGACGGAGAGACAGAACTACAGCAGATAATGTGCTGCTACATGATGCATCTCAGTAATGCTTAATGACATCCTCAATGTATGTAGAAGAGGGGAATCAGCTTCCTGATGTCTGCAGCATCTCCCCTGAATTAGTGCCAGAAATGATGCATATATTCAATATGTTTCGTAAAGTTAATCTGCATTCATCAGGTGTATTTACATACTAGATACATAGATAGATAGATCACTAAAGGAACATTCCATTATAGTTATTTGGAAAGCAGATAGACGAACAAATAAAAATGGGCGGTTCTAGGTTTTTGGCTTTTAATATTTGTACTTAATTAAGGTGATAATACTTGTGCAATGTCACTTTGTTGTCTGTAGTATATTTTACATTGAGATGTTTTCACTTTTGCCTACAGAGCACTGTTCCACTACTCCTGCAGTTTGCCAGTCTACCATCACACATTGAATTCTGGGTAAGTGTTGATTTTGTGAGTTTGGGGTTATAAGACATAGTGTAGATGACATTTAGATTAAACGTGTTTCCTCCTCTAAGCTGCACGGCCCTGGGTGATAAAGTAGAGAGGCTGGCATAGGGTGGTTCTTGAAATTGTATCCAAAATATAGTATGCTATACAGTAGCCGTAACGCAATAGTTGACTGGCTAATTTCCGGGTCCAACCCATATGATTCACACCCCAGTTCACTACGTTTTGCATCAGGTGTGAAAACCAACTGTACCAAAACAGGAGTATTAAAGTAAATGTCCAAGGCTTGGAACACAAATCAATCGATTATAAAGACGTCCTAAAAACGTTTTGTATTTTGTTTGAGATAATACATGTCAGTGATTTCGCTTGTAAATCTCTAAGCTTATAAGTGTTGAAACATCTTTAAAAGAAACGTGGTGGTGAAAAGTGAGACGACAGAGGTTGTTGACGATGTCCAATTTGGTTTTTGTTTAGGGAACCACGGCGATGCTAACTCCCACATCGGCTTACAACAATGCATAATCCTTGCTGCACTTAATTACCTACAACGCAGTGGTTCGTCATCCAAAAAGGTTATTTATAAATGTATATGAGTCAAAAATAAATGTTATTTTCCCTTTTTAGAGGCAAAACATCCAAGAGCCAGGACGTCCGTTGAAGTCGAAGTGGGCGGATACCGCCGGCAGCAGTCAGTCAAATCCAGGTCAGTGGTGGTGTGGGGGTGGGGGTATGTGTGTGTAGGGGGGGGGGGGCTTGTATTATACACTGGACGAACGATGTGACCGAATTGAGAGTTTCTATGCAAGCAATAGGATCTGACCAAGATAAGCCTCTTGGGAGTCGTGCGGTCATCTCTCTCAGGGCAGATTAAGTAGACACACACACACACAATTCTCTCTTTATCTACTGTACACACACACATTGGTCTACATGTCCGTCTGTCGGTTAGTTTCTCTGTTTATTTCCCAGGATGGCGCCTCGTGCAGAGAAGAAGAACTTTGTGGATTTTCTGCTTGTTCTGAGCCTTTAAGGTCTAAATGCAGTCTCCTCAGTGCCCCCCCATCCTCCTACACATCTGTTTCTCATTTACATGCTGGGTCTAAGTTCAGTATGAGACGGGGGGAGGGCGGGTGGGGTGTTGGAAAGTGAAGGGGGGGATCTTAAACATCTTTAGTCCTCCACATGTTTCTCTTCCCTTTAAATAAAGACTTAGTTTCCAATATGTGAGAACCAACATTTAAAACATGGACGCCCACTCTTCTTGAAAAAGCGTAGATTTACAGCAAATGAGCGTGGCTTTTAAAAGGTGAAAGCTAATGTGAGACCCGTCGTTGACAAATAATTACACATCTGCAGTCTGGTAACCTTGATATGTTCAAGTATTTATAATATATAATCATTATCAGTGTGGAAAAAGAAAGGAATCAATCCACTTTATTTCCGATTGTTTGTCATAATTTCAATTAAAGATTTTAAAATGATCTTTCAGATAATTAAAAATATCAGTTAACTTGTCGTAATGCAATTTACCATTCACTAAAAGCTACTGTTGTTATCCTTTTAACAGGTTTGTATCTCCAGTTCACTTTGATAATGTTAGTGGTGGATGAATGACGCATTTATCTTAAAAGATACATTGATTTATAATTTGCATCAAAAATCTTAATCTGTATTGTGGTTGAAATATACAGGAGCAATACAAATAGCTCAAATACCTCAGAATTGTATTTGTACTTCAGTAAATCTTCTTACTTAAATCACTGGATAACTGTGGTAGATGTATTGCTCGTAATCGTTATTGAGCAGTACACTTTGATTTTCTTAATAACTCCTTGATTTCAGACAGAGATAGACACAAGATTGTGAGCGTCAATTTTGCTGGCAGTAATTGTAAGCTTTAAATAATTGAGTTTATTCGATGACTTGGTTGACACTTTGTCTTCACATTAATTTTTTAGGTTGTCGAGCCGACACGTTTTAACTAAATACAAAACAATGAGAAGTAGTTAGATGAGTTAGGTTATTTAGATAGATACATGGATAAATACATTGATAGCTTTCATAAATACACACAAAGATACATTAATAGATAGATACCTAGATAGTCTCAAAGATGGATACACAGATAGATACATACAGTATATAGATACATAGATAATTAGATATGGATGTAAATACATATGCTGCTAAGATGTATTCTTATTAGGGCCGGGACTTTAACGCGTTAATTAAGATTAATTAATTACACAAAAATTAACGCGTTAAAAAAATTAACGCATTTTAATCGCACTTATTTTTGCACCGCGGAACGTTTCTCACTGGATGAGTTTCACGCGTACCGATTATACTGGAGCACCAACTAACGTTCATGACTTCAGACAACAACAAACCACAGTGAACAACAGTAGGAAATGTTGTTTTAAAAAACGGACGGATGGAAGCGTCGATAAGAGCACGGTTGTGTGCAAATTATGCAAAAAGGAATTCGCATATCACCGCAGCACATCAAGCCTCAAGTATCACCTCAATGCAAAACATATAGCAGCTAGCGTGGAAGCTAGCGTGGACGTTAGCCTCTTTTATCGCATTCACACCATACAGTCTATGGTTCACACCAAAAAGAGCCGGTACTAAAATTAGTTCATGAGAACCTTTTTACCCCCACGAAAGTCCCTGCTAGAGAGCAGAGAGCTGCTAGAGAGCAGGGACTTTCGTACGGCTCTCTTGTGAGAAAAGAGCTATATTTCTGATTGGCTGGGCGGATTGCAAACCACGCCCCGTAAAACTCCCAAAAAGTTTGGTGAAGCCGCCATTTTATTATCCTCGCATTAGCATTATTAGCATTAGCATTAGCCCAGCGCAGAAACGTAGAGAGACTAACTTATGGCAACACAAAATAAAACATGGGAGCGGTGGAGATGAGGAGGTGTCGGCGTTCTGGCGATTTACTCGGAAGGCTTCAGTAGAAGCTGCTGGGACTCCCAGCAGCTTCTACTGAAGCCTTCCCCAACTCCGGGGACTTCCGGCCGGGGACTTTGGGCGGCAGTATACGCCGTGAAGTGGTTTGCGGCCTGCCAGTAAACCCAAAGCAGAAGAAGAAGAAGTGACGTCAGCGGCTTCATTTGTTCTCATGAACTAAGTTCTCATGAACCTTTGTGGGAAAAGTACTGCGGTGTGAATGCGCCTAATGGTATACTAAAATC